TATTCACGATAACCCATATGGAATCAAAATTTTGAAATTTTTGTGGTAAGCCAACTACAAGATTCATCACTATACTATCCCTTTTCCACTCAAATATGTCTAAAGATTGTAGCATTCTTACTTGTTTTTTTATGTTTTATATTAGCTTTATGATAAACTAAGCATGATGTTACATATTGTGCCACTTCCTTTTTCATCTTAAGTTACCAAAATAATTATTTTAAGATCTTGATACATTTTTATTGTGTTTGGATATATGCTCAAGTTGTTCTTATGTACTTCTTCTAAAATCAGCTTCGTAATCTCTACATTATTAGACAACCATATCTTATTATTAAATATTAAATTCATGTCCTATCTATGCCAAAATTTTCTTCATTCTTTTGTTCTATCAACTTTTTATTCTTTTGAATGAATTTATCACTTACCTGAGCCTCATGAATTTGCCTTTGTAAATCACTAGTAATCTAAATTGAGTTTAATTTCATTTTATCAAGACTCATAAAAATTAACAAATTAATGTCTTTAAATTTTTCTAGCAGACTCATCTCATGAATCATCAGTAAAAAGATATGTAAGGATTTCTTGCTTAAAGCATCTGTCATTATATTTGTCTTTCCTGAATGGTAATGTAATTCAAAATTATAATCTTTCAAAAATTTCATCTATTTCTTGTTTAACTCTTTCTTATCAAACAAGTATTTAAGACTCTTATGATGACTAAAAATCTCAAACTTACCACCATACACATAATGACATCTAGTTCTAGATCATCGGTTGAATAATTTTTCTCATGTACTCTTAATTGTCTAGAAGCATATGTTATTACCCTTCGGTCGTGCATAAGAATACATCATCATCCTATTTGGAAGCATCACAAAGTGCCTAATAGGATTAGATAATGTTAACATAGGGGGAGTGGTTAATATTTGCTTAAGCTTTTGAAAATTATTCTCATATTTTTTTGTCCATTCAAAAGTTTGGTCTTTCTTGGTGAGTTGGGTTAAAGACATAACTATTTTAGAAAATCCTTAAATGAATCTCCTATAATACTCTGCCAAACCTAGAAAACTACGAATTTCAGTTACTATTTTTTATGGATTTCATTGTGGAATTGCTTATAGTTTGGTTGGGTCTACTGACACTTCTTCTTTGAAAATCACATGGCCCAAGAATTTCACTTATTCTAACCAAAAATCACACTTAGTCAATTTAACATACAATTGATTGTCTTTCAAACTCTGAAGAACAATCTAAAGATGTTCTTCAAGAGTCTTAGAAAAAAAAATGTCATTTATAAAAATCACTACAAAATAATTCAAAAATTGATGAAAATTTTTATTCATATAATCTATCAGGAGAATTGTTCACATCAAAAGATATTACTTGATATTCATAATAATCATATCTAGTTCTAAATACAGTTTTTTGTATATCTTTTACCTTTACTCTAATTTGATGATATCCCGACCTTAAATCTATTTTAGAAAATACAAAAGCTCATCTTAATTGATCTATTCTAGGAAGAGGATATTTATTGTTTATGGTGAATTTATTTAACTAATGATAATTTACACACAACCTAAAATTTTCATCTTTCTTCTTAATAACAAAATAGGGACTCTCCAATGTGATACACTAAGACATATAAACTGTTTTTCAAGTAACTCCTCCAATTGTTTTTTTAGTTTTGTTAGTTCAGAAAGTGACATCCTATATGGTGCCACAAAAATTGGGTGACAAACCAGAAATATTAGTGGATAAAACTTTAGGAAATTTTTGAATAATTGCTATATTTTTCAAATCGTCTTCCTTTTTTACTTCCATAGAAGATAATAATAAATATCTTTGAACTTTATTTTTTAAAGCTTATTTACTAAGTTATTAGATAAATTCAAAAAATTCTCAAAATTTGAAAATATTACTTGGTTTTTTGTGCATAATTTAAAAAGACTTAATTGGAAGATAACTAGTCCATATTGAATATTACATCTAATTTAGATAAAGGTAGACAAATTAAATTTATAATAAATTTCCTATTTTTAATGAATAAAGGACAATCTAGACACACTTTATTAATAATTATAAACTTACTTGTGGGAGTTGAAACAATCAAACTAATATCTAGAAAAGAAGTTGACAATTCAAGGTACTAAACACAATCATTGGAAATGAATGAATGAATTAAGCCTGAATCATACATTATATTCAAAGTTTTACATTTAATGAAATGTATACCTTAGATCAAATCATTGTTTTGAGAGACTTCAACTCCAGTTATGGTATATACTTTTCCCGATGTTGTACGTCTTGCCTTGGGTGCAAATGGATTGAAATTTGGTTTTTGTTGCCAACATTCAGAGAATATATGATAAGCTTTTCCAAATTTGAAATAGATAAGTTTTTTAAGATGACAATCTTTAGCATAATGATCTTGTCCACATTTAAAACACTTTAAGCTGATTATTTACCGGTTTATTAGAATTTCTTGCATAAAACTAGTTAGGTTGAGATCTCCATTGAATGTCGTTGTAAGGTTTTCCTTTATTCTGTCTCTTTGTATTTTGTTAAGGTCCTAAATATTTGGTTTATTATTTTGATTATTCTTAAATTCATCAAAAAATCTACACTTGTGAATTTTTAATAGATTTATTATTTTGATTGTAAGAGATTTTTAATATTCTCACTGTTTTTCTCAATTCAGGCCTAAGTCCATTCTCCAATTTTATAAACTTTATTCTTCATTTGGGTGATAAAAAGAATGTCAAGTATTTTCCTAACTCTCCAAACTTAGAGTCATATTCTCGTACTGTCATACCCTCTTGCTTGCTTTAATTGTATAAACTTTATTTCTTTTGCTCTCCTCACATCATTGGACAAATATTTTTCTAAAAATTTTGTTTTGTACACCTCCCAAGTAATGATTATTCTTCCGCCTTCTAATAATCTCTTAATATTATCCCACTAATATTCAGCCCCTCATATTAACATAAATATCGTGTAATTCACCTTTTAATTGTTAGAACAATTCATTACTCAAAATATATTTTTTAAATTCTTTAATCCATAATTCAACCTTTTATAAGTTATAACCTCTAAAGAATTGTGGAGATTTATTTCTCCTAAATTTAACTAAACCTTATGATTTATTGGTTCCTTCATATCTTTTATTGGAAGTCTCACATCACTTGCCTTATGTCATATGATATGATTTAAATATCTCGTTAAGCCACTCTACATATCAACTCATTGTTCTCATATTATTTATCATCTCGAGATTATACGAGTTAATGTTCATAAAATTTAATGATAGACTCATTTCACATCTAAATGTTAGAATTGATACTCTGGTCTCTTGTCCCTCTAAAAATAACTATATTGTTAATAATTTTGTATTTAAAAAAATCTTGAAAACAAAAGAGTAATATTTCCATATATCTTTATCTATTTACCCTTTAGCTTCTTTTATACTACTTTTTACTATCTCTCTCTTTTCTAATTTTTTTAAGCTTTAATACAAGATTTATCTTTTTCTACGAAAAAGATAAGTCTCTTATAGTACTTTTTAAAATTAATAATAATAATAATAATAATAATTATTATTATCATTTTTAATTTATTTTTTCTATTATAATAATAATAATTATTATATTTTTAAATTAATAATAATAATAATAATTTATTATTATTATTATTATTGATAATAATAATAATTTATTATTATTATTATTATTGATAATTAATTATTATTATTATTATTATTTCTTATTAATTAATTATTATTACTTTTTTATTTGTTAGTATGAAAATTTTAAATAAATTAAAACACATAAACATTAAATTTATTTTATATCTGACCAAATTATGTATATCAGATGTAATTTCATGATATATAATTTGTATTGTATGTTAATTTAAACATAAAGACAAAATTTATATTTTGCATCGTAGCAAGATATTTATTATTTTTCTAACAAAGGTTTTTGATTATTTGCTACACGTATGTTTTAGTTTAATTATTATTCTCAGTGTTTGAGTTTACATATATAATTTCAATAATTATTTTGATAAAGTTTGTTTCAGTGATTATAATCTTACAAGTTAAAATAAGATTATTTCATTTAAAAGATGAGAAGTATTTTATAAAAATAAGATCCTTAATTTTGAGCAATAGCATCATATATAATGTGAGATATTTATAAGTTTGTTCTTGAAATATAAAAAAAATTCGTAAATCAATATATGAAACTACATTCCCATCATAATATATGTTATTATTTCTGTTAATATTTACAATGTGGCAACACCAACCACAATCAAATTGAAACTTTCCCAAACTAGAAGATAGTAATTATATTTTTGTTTGTTATTCTTGTTGCATTTTTTTGTTAATAGAGGTTAAAATTATATTTTTATTTTTCTTGTGTTCGTCAATAGGGTCCGAAATAAATATTTTTTTTTCTTAAGATTCTGTAGATTTGACTTTCAACTAAATTTTATTTCCGAATTATCTGAAAGTTGTTTCTAAAAATAGAGAGAATTTGAGAATTCTACTCTACCACATATCTTATTCAGAAAATCATGAGACAAACACGATCTGAGAGTATGATTCTTAAATATCTTTAGAATCAAAGCCTGAAATACCATCCAAATGCTGTACAAATACATTTATAAAAATTATAAAAAATCTTATTTCCACTTATAATATTAATTATAATAAAAACGTTTTAACCTTTCTATTATTTAATTTTTCGTACAAATTATCAAAATCTTCTTTATCATTTTATAAGTATGAGTTAAATTTTTAATGGGAAGAATGTTTTTAATTATTCTTGAAAAATTGTGACGTAAGGGTACGCTATTTAAGAATAATTTGGTTTATTTAGTCGCTAAATTTTGACAGGAGTAAAAAATTAAAGGGAAACTTTTGTATCATTGATAAAACGTGCACTATCGATCGTGATTATTGTTAGATTTTAACCTTCACAATCCTTTCTCCCTCAGTTCACTCTCTTCTCTCCTCCGTTCCCTTTCACGTCTTTTGATTCCTCTTTCGATTTCATTCCATTTGCCTCATCTGACTCCGCCACGCAACCGGAAACCGCCGCCCACGCCTCCACCGGAGTAGTCTCCGCCGGCGCCTGCTTCCACCAGGTTCGTTTTCCCTCTGTTATAGTTGCATGCTTGTTTATTTATTGAGAAATTCCTCGGCGGTTATGAAATTCGATAAGTACTTATACTTCCCAAGGTTTTAGAAAACTGTGTGCTGCTGCGATTTTGGCTGCAATATCTAAGTTTTGTAGTGTTCGCGACCACAGCGCGATCGCAATTGTGGTTGCGTCTGCCTGATTTGTCTATAATTTGTGACAATTTAAGTGTGTGATGAGTGCGACTGCAATTTAAAGCTTACTAGTGTGATGAATCATCACTCCCTATCTCACTCACTCAATTTTCCCCCCAAATTTTGAACTGCTCAAATTTTACCTGTAGGAAGTTCGGTTTGGTGGCAAGTCTTTCTCCTCGGAATTGGTGGTTCTACTTTATGCTTTGATTTATGTGATCAGTGTAATCTTTCATCCGAAGCAAAAAAACTACATTATAATGATGAAATTCGCTCCACAAAGTTGAACTGTCCAAGTTCGCAGTTACGAATAAGAAGTTGGAATATATAATGCTTGAAAAACTGTTTGTTTATTATTCTCATCAGGCTGAAAATCGAATAATTGAGCAAAGTGTTGTTTTTCTGATTGGATTCATCAGAATACGCACTTATAATGAAATGGTTAAACTATGTAATTAACACGTGAGGGAAAAGGGAAGTTGTTTCTTGTGTTGTGAATCAAAATTTATTCATCAGCTATTTTATCCTGATTATTTAATCTTAGATTCACATTGGGGATTATCAAATAAATAAATAAAAATCCCTCAAAATTTGTTCGTGGCTGGGCTCAGTCAAATAAATGTACCCTTCTCAACTTTTTAATTTGGTGGAGCCAGCCACTGTCCAGAAAGAAATATCAGCGAACTTTAGCAAACCAGGACATGAATTAGACACCTACAAAACTACGTAGCAATTTCAAGATTTTTTATAAGACTGTCTAAATAGAATTAGAAACCAGGCAATAATAGGGGCAACTTTTGTTTCCCTAGAGATATATACTTCAATTGGCAGAGATATAGAAAAGAGACTTGTAAGGGTACTAGATAATGGAGTTTAGTATCTGACACCATAGTTGTTAAGCTCAATTAGGAATACCTCAGTGGAAGTATAATGTCCAAAGAAATAGCAAAGATGAAAAGAGAGAAATGTAAATTCTAAGGATTTGATTTTAAATTCGAAAGTGTCATTTTGGGTATTGGGAATTGTAGATAGAACCTCAATAGCGTTATTGGTAGTTAGAAAATAGTCAAATTTAGTCTTTTTGATTTTTTTCGATCATTCAATTCTAATAGTTTTTGGTTGAATTTGTCTATTAGTGTGATGTATAAATCACTAGGAAACAGATTTCTGTATATATTAGGGTTAGTGGATTTATCTAGTAGTTTCTTTGCACAAAAGAAAAGGAAAAAGTTGAAGATGAAAAATTGAGTCTGATGGATGTCAAGTGTTACTTTTCTTTGGATGGTGTAATCTATTATCGTTAGTATTTGAGGCTCATGCCAATCCTTCTGCTTATGATTAGTCTCAAGGCTCATGTGGTTTGGCTTCTGTCATGGTCTATATGAAAAGATAAAGGTGACAACAGATGTCATAATTCAGATATCCAAGGGAGCTTTTGTTTATTGATGAACAGTTGTAAACGTATCCCATGAAGAGAGGTTTGCATATTGATGCACCAGTCACCATAATGTTGCAATTTGTCATCTAAATAAAATTGGCCTTGAAACACTATTATTGCATGCTTAGGTAATGCTTGGTTGGAATGAAGTTGGGCTGGTGAAAAAAGTCTATGTATTAGGGCAAAAGAAAGCCTAAAAAACTCTACCTTTTCCTTTTGTTGCATTAATGAAGTAATCATACTATATGCTATACTCTCCAGGGTCGGTGCTCAATTAAATTAAAACAGTTTCCACCAGTTGATCAAAATCTCTGATTTAGATAGATTAGTTTCTATCAACTGATTTACTAGTGTGCAGATTCTTTAAATTTTAGGTACTAATTTATTTATTTTGCAGATTTAGTTACCTCTCCCCCTAAATGATAAACCCTAACTGAATTCAGCTTTTATTCCAATTCCCTAAAAAAAAGTTAACTCCCTATTATTTCACTCAAGTTTTGCTAAATGCCTCCATGTCACTGATTCTGCAGATTTGTATTGACCACAATGGTATACTGCAGTCACTGTGCCAAAAATGTTGCTGGCGAGCGACTAGATGATGGTTTCTTGTGAGTATCTTTAGTGCTTTCACAGTAATTCATGGAATGACATTTTTTCTTTTGTTGTTTTAGTTTAGTTTCTAATAAAATTTGTGCATTATGTGATACAAATTGAGTGTGGAAATGCCTATCTTATTTAATTATGGATCTAGGAACGTGTAGAGGAAGCCTCCAATGATATTAAATGTTTATTTTTTATTAATTTCCTTCTCAGATGTTGTGGAAGCTGTGGGAGGGTGTTGGAAGATTACTTTTTTGCTGAGGAACCTACATTTGTCAAGAATGCATCGGGGCAGGTAATTCAAGCCTGACAAACTGTGGTGGTTCTTTGGCAGACTTTATGATTGAAACTTAATTTTCCCCCTTAAATTACAACATCATGTTTTGTAGAAAGAGGCTTGATCTATTTTCATTAAGGACTGATGGGGATTTGGATTACTTGAGGTTTAAGTCTTTGATTGCAAGTATGGTTTGAGAGAGAAATGAAGAACAGTTGGATCCCACTATGCAGTCCTATTTTTGAGACCTGCAAGTGATCTTCTTTTCTCTTGCAGAGTGGGACACTTTCCTTATCTTAAGGAAAAGTAGAGGATCCAAGCTCTACTAAGGTCATATGTTGCACTTTTGCCAAAAATATTGTTGTGCATTATTTGCTTCTTCTATCAATGGAGAACATTAGAAGACATTAATAGGACTAGTAGCAGAACTGAAGTTTCTGGGACATTGGTCACTTATGAGGAAGACAAGTTTAATTGTTTTATCCATGAGATTTTCTTTTACTTGTCATCATACATTTTATTTTTGTTTACATAATTTTTTATTTCTCATGTTTTCCTGACTTGTGTCTTGTAGAGTAAATTATCAGGAAATTATGTAAGAACAGTTCAAAGCGAGTTCTCTGAGTCACGTCAAAGGACTTTAGATAGAGGTATACCTTTCTTATTTGTCATAGAATACCACATCTCATATTGGAGAATTATCAAACATGTTACTGTATTAGTCTTTAAATCTGTCAAGTTCTGCTATTTTCTTCTGGTTGTCTCTCAACCCTTCCAATGTTGCAGTCCAATAATAAATTTTAATTTCATGTTTAACATTTATCCAATGATAAGGAAAATGTTATTTTTTATGTTCACAACAGCCAATGTAATCAATTGATATTGTGAAGGAGGCTGACCTTATTGTTACAGGGAAAACATGTGTAGAAGAGAAATTGGCTAGTTGTTTTAGTGCTTATTTGTAATATAATGATCAGTTTGATTACTGTTAGTAATTTGACGGCTGTAGCTATTTTGTGTTCTTATGTGTCAATTTTATGAATTTACAGCTTATGATGAAATTAAATATCTAAGTTTTGGCCTTGGAGTTAATGATGAACATATGGCTGACCAAGCATTGACCTTTTATAAAGTACGTCACATTTTCAAGTTATTTTAAACTTGCTTTCTATTTTATTTATGCACTTTTTGAAAATATTTTTTCATTTAACTAATCCTTGAATTTTCCTATTAAAGATAGCACTAGAGCGAAATTTCACCCGTGGACGAAGATCAGAACAAGTACACGCTGCTTGTCTCTATATTGCATTTCGGTATGAGTTCTCTTTGGCCTGAGTTTTGCATGATTCTTCATACAAATTATCATTTTATTGCTACCATGAGTAACCATATGATGTGGAGATATTATACCTTGCAACATTTTATTTTTTATGCTGAAATTGTGTGTTTTTCTTACAGGCACAACAATAAGCCATACCTTCTTATTGATTTTTCAAATTATTTAAGAATAGATGTGTGAGTATTATTTTCTTTTGTTACTGGAGTCTGACACTGGTTATATTTCCCCCATAGCTAGTTTTTTGTCATTATATCCCTGTTTTTCTGTGTTTCTGATTGTTGTTTTTCTGTGTTCATGTATTTGTTGTGCAGGTATTTGCTAGGATCAGTTTTCTTGCAGCTTTGTCAAGTATTGAGGCTTGGAGAGCACCCAATTGTTCAAAAGCCTATTGATCCTAGTCTTTTTATTCATAGATATACTAAAAGTGAGTGTTTGCTTTTCAGCTCAGTTTGTATTAGCGGATGACTAAAATGTTCTGTGTGTAGAATGTGGTGAGTTTAGGAAGAGAGAGAAAACAAATCATTTAGAGAGAATTTAGACAATGAAAACTCTTAATAGACCATGTGGTGACTATCTCTATGATTATAATGAGTGGTGCAACGTTTTAGATATTAATAACCATGAAGATTAAATTCATTTTGGCATATGATATACAAACCGCACACACCCTGTAATACTCTCCCTTCCGCTGAAGCTTATTAAGCTTTAGGATCATTAATAAATTCTCTGTCTGTATTCTTCTAGAGTTCTCACTTGCAAGACTTTCTCATATTACCTTTCAAAGATCCCCTGGACCTATACTGCAATGATAAAACTGAGAATATAGAAGGAATTGTGGTTTATGTTTAATTGAAAATGAATCTAAATTATTGTGATTTGAACTGAGAATTTCCATTTTTATGGTTTTTTTTTTCTGTTCATAAAAGAATAAAATAATTCAAACAATCAAACTAGTATGTTTTTATTGTGAAAAGATGTTCATCTGTTTTTTTTTTTTGGAAATTTCAAACCTGGTTTGGTTTTATATATTTTTTATTTAAAATTTTATTCTGTTGTTTTTCTCTGAGATAGGATAAATAATTAGATTGATGTCATGTCATGTAGATTTGATAAAGCGAGGTAGTAAGGCAGTCTCTGATACTGCGCTGACCATTGTTGCAAGCATGAAACGTGACTGGATGCAGGTATCTTAACATTGTTCTGGCATTTGTGTTAGTTTTTTCAGTTTGGATAGAGAAAGCATTAATTTGGGATGTGAAGTATGAACTTTTATTATTATGAATATGCTGAATTGATAATTTTAGAAAACAGACAGGGAGGAAACCTAGTGGACTATGCGGTGCTGCATTATACATATCTGCTCTTGCACATGGTATTAAATGCTCTAAGCCTGATATTGTAAGTAATGATAAAGTTACGATAATGCCTATCTTTCTGCTAGTTGTTTTTATTTGTACCAAGGTTGATTTATGCTTGTGTATCATGTGTGCCTGGTATAATTGTAAATCTCATACAAATTTTTCCTTTATTTTAGTATTGCATTTTTCATTTTGTTTCCCATTAAGATTTTTTGTTCTTGAATGGCCATATTAGCAATAACATATGGCATGATGTTTTGGGTAGACTAGTTACACATTTGTTGATGTAATTGTTTCTTCACTTAATGAATCATCTAAATTTCAAGGATGTTGGTTGAGCCTTAACTTTTTTTCTTATATTAGATGTCCCCTGAGTTCTTATTTATTTTCAATGCAGCTCAGAATAGTCCATGTATGTGAAGCAACATTGACCAAACGATTGGTAGAATTTGAGAACACAGAGTGCTCTAGCTTGACAGTATGTTTCTACCCCCCTTTTAGTACCATGGTCTATTTCGATATATGGATTATCATAGCTCTATACTACGAATTGTAATAGACTTGTAATTAAATTCACTATCTTGGATCTGATAGTCAGTGAGCCTTTTTCATAACCCTTTATGGTTACAGATTGAGGAGTTGGATACCATGGCAAAGGAGCAAGAAAACAATCCAACGGTAATGCCAGAAGGTGAACTAAAAGGATGTATTTCAAAAGATCTATTGTGTGAGCACAAAGATAGTGGGGCATCCCATTTTGCGCTTGGATTGTGCGAAGCATGCTATAAAGATGTGAGTACTTTCTTTCTTGTCAAAATGCTTTACTTTTTAAGCCACATTGCCCTTTGGCATTTAATGTTGTGCTTATTGATATGCTCACAGTTCGATAAGCTCTCTGGTGGGCTTGGTGGTGGTTTGGATCCTCCTGCATTCCAGCGTGCTGAGAGGGAAAGAATGAAAAAAGCACTTCAGGAAGAGAGTGTTGATGAAGCATGTGATGTAAGTATTCCTTGAATTAGGTTTTGTGTGTGGTAGTTAGCATTTCATTATATAAGTATCTTTTTCTAACAATTCAATAACTAAATAGGGTCTATAAAATATCCGTAATATTTTCTTCTAAAAACTTTAGTTTCATCCCAAAAGAGAAAAGATAATCCATGTCCACAAACTCACTCCATAGAGAAACACACTGGTGTCAAATAGTGAACCAGAACACCAAGCCCATAACTTAGGTTTTTTACATATTACTGATCAAATCCAATTAATATTCTACTAATAACCAAATGCATCCAGCAAAAGAGTACTAGATGCTTTTTACTTATCAGCCATTCGATATAAAAAGGAATTATCTTACTGTGCACATGTTCACACACTGTCTAGTTGATATCATGGTATTGCAACCCGTCATTAGCAAGAATACTCCTCCGAAGAGCAGCATTTACAAATATGTGGCCATGTAGAAGCCTTAACTTTCATTTAGTACTTATCCTATATGAAACCATCCTTCCAGCAATGATCCAGACATATGGGCATCTTAAATTAATTCTAATATTTAGACAACTACATCTCTTTCTGAACAACATGGCAGATAAATTTTAGAAGACCCATAATGTTAGGGTATGAGGGGAAGGAGAAGTTAGGAAGATAGTTAGCATATTTATGAGTTAGTTAATTGCATAAGGTGTTGTTTAGATATAAATAGGTTGTGAAGGATAGGAGAAGGGTGTGGATATTCTTTGTAAATTGAGCATTAGCTCTTTGTAAAAGGAGAAATACTTTGTGAAGGGGAAACCCTTGGAGGAGAGTCTTCTCCTATTTCTTGTTCTTTTCATCTATTCAATAAAGAAACTTTCTTTTATTTTTCTGTTTAATTCTTGGTTCCTAACAATTGGTCCGACCTAATCCGAAAAAGGTGAAATCATGGAAGGAAGAATTGCTGTCTTGGAAAAATGGGCCAGCGAGCATGGGAAGACCCTCTTGAAAATGCAAGATAATTTTCAAGAAATCAAAGACTTGTTGAAACACATAAAGGAAAAAGAAAGAAGCTCGGAGAAAGGTGAGAATTCTACAAATGGGGGAAGAAGAGGAGAAAGGACGGTGATTAATGAGGAATCTGATTCAGATGGTGGGAAGAAGAAGTGCAGCTTCAATGGATGAAGAGTGTGGAGCTGCCAACTTTTGAAGGAAGTGATCCAATTGGTTGGATTGCTAGGGCTGGAAAATTCTTTGAGGTACATAAAATGAATTCCTTTGATAAGTTGCAATATGCATTCATAATTATGGAGGGTGTGGCAATGCATTGGTTCTATTATTGGTACCAAGATAACTTGAATTTAGATTGGAAATCTTTTTCAACAGCTTTGATAAAAAGGTTCAAAGATATCTATGACAACCACATCTTTGACAGATTGACTACCATGAAGCAAGAAAAACAAATTGAGATTAAAATATGCAGCAAAATAATGGAGACTTCCACAGTAGTGTATGAAGAGGGTGACCCACATCTGGTTGAGCAAGAAAAAAATAGCATGGAGGGAAGCGAGTCAAAATGCATTGCAGCAGAGATTAGTTCTTGGATAAGAAAGATGAAACTATCCATATTTGCTGGAAGCATAGAGGGGGAATCCGATTCTCAAAGTGGCAGTTTTGAGAGTGATGATGATCATTTTCTATTCTTGAAATCAGAAAATAGAAGTAAAGAAGAAGACTCAATAATCAAGTATCACACCCTTGATAGTGCAGAAGAAACCAAAAACGAAGAGAATTTATCGAGAGAAGCAAAGATTATGTCATCAATAAAGACTGTGAAGATGATGGAATTCCATATAAAGAATCAGAAATCATTGTTGAACCCAAATATGATAATGAAGGTGGTTGGAACAACAATGACATTAGAATTTTGGAATTTTAATTTTCTTGGTGATCCTTTAATATTAAATTTTATTGTTTCTCTGGATTACAACTTGCCAATGGAGACAATGCAGAAGGAAGGTTTGAAGGCTGTTATAAAAAATCCACTCTCATTTCTACCACCACCCAAGCCACCTGATCTGAATTAGATGCATTAGCCCCTGGTCCTCATTCCTATACCAAAGAAAAAAACATCACATGCAAACAGGAAGGGTAAACGAAGATCATGGTAATAAGAATGAGCAATGGGATCAAGTTTCTACTATACAACCTTGAGGACAAGGTTGATTTTTGGCGGGGTGTATTGTTAGGGTATAAGGGGAAGGAAAAGTTAGGAAGATAGTGTTAAGGCTCCAACATAAAACCAATTGGCTATATGTGGAGTAACCTAACATGTATTTAAACCATACCAAATGACATTAGGTAGGCGATGTGAGACTTTCAACACGCCCCCTCCAACGAAGCCTGCCGGACCAAGCAAAGGGTACTTTTGACCCAACTAAAGGACAACTTTTGGCCCATGACAATAACCGGAATGATGTTAGGCTTTGGCTCTGATACCATGTTAAGAGAGTAAAGAGAGTGAAAAGAAGATTTCTAATTTTGTGGGATGCATTACTCCACTCTATGATCTCATATATATACAGGATTACAACATTTAAAACAACAACCACCAACTACTAACTACTAACCACTAACCACTAACTCATAATAATTCTAACACTCCCCCTCAAGCTGGAGCATACAAATTGTATGTGCCAAGCTTGGAACAAATAAATTCAATTCGAGGTCCTCTTAAAGACTTTGTCAACACATCTGCAAGTTGATCATTGGACCCGACAAATTCAGTGCAAATTTCTTTAGACAACAATTTTTCACGAATAAAATGACAATCAAGTTCTATATGTTTGGTCCTTTCATGGAACACCGGATTAGAGGCAATGTGGAGAGCTACGTGATTGTCACAATACATCTTCATCTGTTGGATCTCACAAAATTTCAGTTCTTGAAGGAATTGTTTCACCCACACTAGTTCACAAGTGAGAGATGCCATTGCTCTATATTCAGCTTCAGCACTAGACCGAGCCACTACATTTTGTTTCTTACTTTTCCAAGAAATAATATTGCCTCCAATGAGAACACAATATCCTGTAGTGGAGCGTCTGTCCATAGGGGATTCAGCCCAATCAGCATCACAATACCCAGATATTTGGGTACCCCCTTTATCTTCATACAACAGACCTTGTCCTGAAGCTTTTTTGAGATATTTTAGGATGTGAACGACAACATTCCAATGATCAGTACACGGATTTTGCATAAATTGACTCACAACTCCAACGACAAAAGATAAGTCAGGTCTGGTAATGGTGAGATAAATGAGTTTCCCAACAAGTCTTCTATATCTCTCTGGATCAGAGAGCGGTTCACCTTGATCCGTCATTAATTTCTGATTTGGATCCATAGGGCTGTTTACTGGTCTACAATCAATCATGCCTGTTTCTTTCAGGATATCTAAAGCATACTTTCTTTGGGAGACTACGATGCCTTCTTTTGATTGAGCCACTTCAATCCCTAAAAAATATTTGAGACAACCAAGATCCTTAGTTTGGAAGTGATTGCATAAATGTTTATTTAGCAAAGAAATTTTATCAACATCATCCCCTGTAATGACTATATCATCTACATGTACAATTAAATAAACACATTTTCCTGAAGCAATATAATAAAAAACAGAATGATCTGTTTCACTTCGTTTTAATCCAAAACTTTGAACAATGTGACTAAAATTTCCAAACCAAGCACGTGGAGATTGTTTGAGACCATAGAGAGAACGATGTAACTTACAAACCAAACTAGACTCCCCCTAAGCAACAAAACCAGGAGGTTGCTCCATATAAATTTCCTCCTCAAGATCACCATGCAAGAACGCATTCTTGATATCTAACTGATGAAGAGGCCAATGACGGATAGCTGCCATAGCAAAGAAAAGTCGAACAGTAGTCATTTTGGCCACAGGAGAAAAAGTATCACTGTAGTCAAGGCCATAGATCTGAGTATAGCCTTTTGCTACTAATCTAGCTTTGAGTCGATCAACTTCACCTTTTGGTCCAACTTTAATGGCATAGACCCAACGACAACCAACAGTCTTCTTCCCATGTGGAAGAGGAATTAAGTTTCATGTACCATTGTGCTCAAGAGCCTGCATTTCATCAATCATGACTTGTCGCCATCCAGGATGATCAAGTGTCTCTTTCACATTTTTTGGAATAGTAATAGTGGATACAGAAGAAACAAAAGAAAAATAGGAAGGAGACAATCTATGGTAGCTAAGAAAATTGTAAATGGGATGTGGATTACGAGTAGAGCGAGTACCTTTGCGAATGACAATGAGCCAACTTGAGTCATCATTATCAGGAATCGTGGTATCAGGGGATGATTGAGAAGGATCTGTTGAGGAAGACTCATCTTGGGACATGAGACTGATCATTTGGCTCCTGTGTTGATAGGTAATAAGAGGCAGTGACGAGGATTCCAGTGTATTTTGTGTGGAATTTTGGGTGTCAGGAGGAGGAGGTACAAATGGCTACACTAAGGGTGTAGGTAAGACATTTTGGACCGAACTAATATCCTGCATAGAAGAAGGGAAGAAGGGAGTTGACTCAAAAAAAGTGACATTAGCAGACATGTAGTACCTCTTGGTTTCAGGAGAATAACATCGATATCCTTTTTGAAGACGAGAATATCCCAAGAAGACACATTTGATGACTCTAGCTGATAGTTTATCTAAACCTCGAAACATATCATGAACAAAACATACGTAACCAAATACACGAGGAGAAACATGAAAGAGTGGGTCCTTTGGCAATAGAATAGAGTGTGGAACTTTATTGTTAAGAGAAGAAGATGACATTCTGTTAATGAGAAAACATGCAGCAAGAATAGCATCTCCCCAATGATGAACATGCATATTTCCACCAAGTAATAAGGTACGAGCAGTTTCAACCAAATGTCTATTTTTTCGTCCTACTATACCATTTTGTTGTGGTGTGTGAGGACAAGTAGACTGGTGTAAAATGCCTTGGGAGCTTAAGAGAGTGGAGAAATCAGTAGAAAAATATTCTTTGGCATTATCACTTCGTAAAACTTTGATTACTTTTCCAAATTGATTTTTGATTTCGTTAAGGAAAGACTTAAAGATAGGTAATAATTCAGAACGGTCTTTCATTAGATAAATCCAAGTACACCTAGAAAACTCATCAATGAAGGTAA